TGAGGCTTTTTGGGTTTCTAGTACCATAGTTTGATCTGTACTAACCTCTAGTGCTGACAGGCAGTTAATAATCGGCAATAACGAATCAGGGGAGTAGCCGTTGAGCATCTGTTAGAAGTATTCAACATCTTTTGAGGCATTTCTTTCGAGCTTCCATTGGAATACTTTAGCGTCTTGGCTAAAGTCAGACCACTCACCTGCTTGCCGGACAAGTGTCACTCCCTTTGAGCACTCTTTGTCGCTGTCTTATCTTCGTCATTTCCACCTCTGGCCAAAATTGCCTGTCGTCTCTAGGTCTGATGGACTGCACAAACGAGACCGCGTTGAACTACCTTTTTAGATACGGTAGGGTTTAGCAACTCCTCCTTTGTCTGATTTCTTTGCTCTCCGAAGTCTATTATCTTATGCGTAATCCCGAGTACTGCCTATTATCTTCCTAACCCCAGCTACGTTTTTTTTCGAGGAAATGACGCTTCTTTGAAGCCGTTATAAGCTTTCTTGACGGTTCATTTTCCTTCCTTGGGCCTGCCTTTCCATTTAATCATATTTTAGCTCCTCGACGTTTGGCAGATGATCTGTTTCAACTAGACGACGTCGATGCGACATTGTTAATTTTAGACAAAGTTCTGCTGCAACAATATGGTGATGAGGTTCAAGGCAGGCGCTACGCTGCACGTCTCCAGCAATGAGCTGTGCCATTTACTGCTGATGAGGACGTGGTCCAGCTGAGTGTTTATGCTTCCATAGGGGGGATGTCGGATGGTTTGGGGAATTCGATTATTTGGAAAAGGGGTCCCACTGATAGAATGCTGTTTTTACTTAACATGTGCCTTTGTCATCCACTCTCTCAGTATTGTGAATGAAGAGTATCCCGTTCCTTTTGCTGTTCTCGGCGCCAACTTTTGCGTTGAGGTCGTGACGCGACAGAATGCTAACAGCCGAACGTAAACAGTTATAGACGCCCTCTTTGTCGCTGTCACTGGATATATTTGTCGGCGCGTAGGTGACAGTGACATTTAGCGTTCATCTCTTTGACATTCGCGCTATAGACCAGGATTTTCATCAGCACTTGGTCCAACGAAATGATTGCTCGGATTACCCTAGAATGCAAAAAGAAACCCACATTGGCATGGTGTTATCTGTGACCTGAAAACCCACGCTGCAGATCGAGCATCATCTTCCCCGAAAGACGAGCTTCCGTTACTACCACTGTATCGAGTTTGTAGCGACGAACCCTACGGCAGACATAATCTCACTTTCCTTCCTCTGACTTGAAACGAATATTCCATTATGCTACACTGAACTTGCTTGTTGTAATCTTGCCTGTTGGAATCACGTACTTTTTGGTCACCAGTTGAGTGGTAAGTAGCGAGGAAAGACGGTCGCTGCACCTCATTTCCATGAGAGCCGGAATAATTTCCCCGCTGCTCGCAATCAGATCAATTTGACAAAAGATGATGGCCAACAACAAGGTGGTGATCGGTTGATGGCTCTGCGTTTCTTTTAACGCGAACATCCATTAGTCAGCGTCTTAAGTCAGACGATACGATTATCAAATCGATCATCGACTTCTGTGCACAACCTTCTCGGTGCCACGTATATTGATGCACTCTTCGATGCTCGAAAAAGATGTTCATAATGGACAAGCCATTGTTTGCATAAAACTGTGACAACTTCATAAAATTATTGTTGAGCTCGCTAGGGCCGTTTTA